TTTTCTCGCATTGTTATTGAGAATAGGTATTAAAAAACGCTCAGCTTCAGACACTGGAATTCTATTTATATTTAACTAACTGTCAAGTACATATGACTTATCGTTTTCGGATTAGATGTCCTCAATTTGCATAAAAGTATTAAACAAAGAAGATTGATGAAGACTGGCAAAAACCTGATAAATAAAACTCATTTAAATAATTTCGGAAGCTTTGATAAAAGGAAAGGACCGACTGATGTATTCTCGGTTGATACGGGCGTCACTTGGGCATGGTATCGGGGGATTCGGGGGGGGGGGGGGCTTGACTAGGCACAGTGATTTGGATGGGTTGTGGGGAACGGCTCCTTTTGTCAATTAAAAGGGTGGGACCCTCTCCCAAAGAATTTTAAAAATGTAGCATTTCTGCATTCTAATGCTGTTTTCGTCTTTCTTTTCTGTAAAAATTCCTCGATTTTTCGGCGCACCTATATATCTTAACGAATGTATCATTTCTCTCACTTCATTTCTCTAATCTAAACATTTTTTCTTCATCTGGTCGTGGGAGCAGCGCATCAACGGCAAAGCATAGAGCTTGAGGATGGACGGCGCATCGAAGAGTGTGACGAGTATGATTATCTCGGTGTCTGGCTAGATCAGGATGGAAGGATGGATAGAGCAATTAGGGACAGGATCATCCAGAGCAGAGAGAATCCGCCAGGTGAAGAGGGTTGAAGAAGATATCCTGCACGACGTCATATCTGTTGTAATCGTGAAATCTAGTAATAGTGTAGTCAGGTTGGCAATCACTGAAATGCTACACCTGAAAGGATAGTGCGCATGCGCAAGGTGAAGGTTATCTGTTATCCGTTATCAGCTGCTGCAGCCGGAATGGCATGTTGCTAATTAAGTATTGTTAATTAGAAACTATGAATAAATAGCTAGTTCCTCAAAGAGCGTCCATTCATTTATTGAACATTACATGGTGCCGAAACCCGATGGTTTTCCGCGATCGATAAAGTAATTACGGTTACGGAAAAATCGCAAGTCGCGAGTGCAACTGTCATGTGCCAGTGACGACCATCGAAGCCTAAGATTGTGCCATCAATCTATAGCGTGCAAAGTTTCAAGAAATCGTGTGCCAACTTTAAGCAAGTGCAATGCCTAATACAAGTGCAGATGGTGAGACGGATGGAGGAGCAGCATCCCATGGATCAACTAAAGCAATATCTGCCGAGATAAAGCCGCTAGAGAATGTGGCTGGAGCAAACATGGCTGAACGCTGGGAGGTTTGGAAGGCAAAATTTGAAATCTTTATGAGTGCAACGACGTGTGACGGAGAGTCAGACGCGAGAAAAAATTGTTTACTCCTACAATTTCTGGGGGATGAAGCATACGGCATATATGCATCGTTCAATAAGAAATACAACGAACTCACACATAAGCAACTCATAGAATTGTTTGATGTACACTCCAAGTTAGAAAAGAATGTTGAAATGGCTTTATGCAAATTAATAACCAGAAAACAAAAAGAAGGTGAGACATTGGACGAGTTTGCTACCAATTTGAAGAATTTAAGTCTGGCCTGTAACCTAGACAATCAAAGGAATAAAATTTTCAAAGCGATTATGATTGCAAATTTGCTTCCGAAGTTTGAAAGGGTGTCGCGCTGTCATAAGCTCTCTGAGGATCTACAAATACCAAGTGCAGCTCCTGGCTGACCGCTCTTTTCTTCTCGATGACCGCGGTAATGGTGAACAAATGGTCGACGGTAGACCTACCGGCTCTAAAACCAGCTTGCTCTTCAGCTCCCTGGCCGCTCCAAACCCCAAGTAGCAGTGATCGTGATAAATTGCGATTTAATCGGAGAATGTACCGCGATTTATTGCAATATTATCGGATTAAAAATCGGGATAAATTGCAATAAAATCGCGATTTTGTCGACGGCGATTTATCGCAATATTATCGGGAGAAAAATCGCGATAAATTGCAATAAAATCGCGATTTCATCGAACGCTATTTTATAGAGATAAAATTGCAATAAATTGCAATTTTTCATGAACGCCCACTAACGCATGAATGACGCATATGCAAGATGTTTCTATGCCGCCGCCGCCGCCGCCGCCGTTTTTACCAAGGTCCGTTAGAAACTTAACCATCTCATTTTTTTTATCAATTATTGGTAATATTACAAAGACAGACTGTTAAGCTTACCTAAAAACCGGTATTTTTACTGATTTTTTCAGGTAAGAATACGACTTTTATTGGTAATCAATTCCCGGTAAGTTTACCATTTTATCTCGGTAATTCTACCACAGTCGATAAAAAATATTGGCATTTTTACCAAGGTCCATCGGTTACTTTGCCATCTCACTATTATTGGTAATTTTACTAAGACAGAATTGTTCAATGTAATTGTTGCAAATACTAACGTTATGTGAACTACTGAAGAATAGGCAATTATTGTCTTTAAGTCAGTTTGAATAAAGCAAATTATTCTTATTGCAAACGCTGTCCATATGCTGTAAGATATAACTCTGCATAGGTAACTCTGCCATCTCACTATTATTGTTAATTTTACAGAGACAGAATGATGAGATTACCAATAGAACCTTATTTTACCAACCGTATTTCAAGGTATGAAATAGGTAAAATAAAGAGGAGTGAAAATAAAAAAAAAATCCAATGAAAACTCGGTGTCAGTCATCGCCAAGACATAAGTTGTAAGGTTGCGAAGCGCCGATCCACGTATAAAAGGCTTCAATTCGCACTCGTTAGTCATATAGCGGCCATAGCATAGTGGCAATGTGCTGGCCTTCCACCGTAGCGATTGGGGTTCGAATCCCCGCGGAGGCTCCGGGGATTTTACGCTCGTCTTCGTCAAAGGACCTGACGGCTATGAACCTAACAGCAATCGGCTAACAACGTTAACCCCCTTTTTTTGGCGATTTTATCGGTGATAAAATCGCCAGGATCATCAACATCTGAGCGATTGTCCTCGATCTTATCACGATAAAATCGCAATTATTTAGGGCCGATAAAATCGCGAAAAGATCGAGGATAATCGATCTGATGTTGATGATTCTAGCGATTTTACCGCTGATAAAATCGCGATTTTTCCGTTGAAAAATGCTACTTGGGACCTCTTCGACCTTTACCTTGAGAATTTTTCCGTAGACCTTGCTCGCGGCTCCTGTGACCGATATACCTCTGTAGTTATCGCAATCTTGCTTACGAAGAAGCGACGGGGACGTCCCGTACAGGGTTGGCGGCAGGGCGTTGACAAGGAGATGTTGCGGTGTCAGTTGCCCGATATAACCTCTGGGAAGACAGGCATATGTGGCATTTGGGTGTCGTAGAACGCCAGAACACACGACAGAACTGTCCGTGAACGGACTACTGGTTATTTTAACCAGTTTTGTGCTTGGAAGCCTCATAAGCTAGAAATTAGAGAATCACGGATTAGAGGATCGCAGCATATGATGCCTTTATATAATTGTCAAATTTCGTGATGATTTAACAATTTAATTAATAATCGCTAAATTTTGCCATTCGAAAGTGGCAGGGGTTTTTGATACTTCTCGCAAAGCTTATCGGGTGCTTGAATCACATGTTTTTTTGTAAAAACGTATATTGTTGGATGGGGGGGGGGGGAAGAGAAATCTCTCGACCTACAGAATAAATGGAAACCTAATACTATTTTGGGGCTTAAGAATTGTCTGTGAACAAACTACTGGTTATTTTAACCCGTTTTGTGCTTGGAAGCCTAATAAGCTAGAAATTAGAGAAAACTCATCGGAAATCGCACCAATCTTTGCCATCTGACGCAGGTCACACCAAGTTTTAAAATCAATATTTACCCAAAGGTGTCGAAATCTTCTCCATGATTTAACCTTAGGATCTTATGAACGGGGGATTTGAATTAACGCGTCAAGAAACATTGCCACTAAAAATCAAGAAAGAGTAAAGATTCCGTCATGACTATGAGATCTCAGCACTAGATCATGCATTCAGAAAAAAGGGGGAAAGATTTTCCAAAATCTCAACAAGTGCTTTTGTTTTTCAACCTCAAAATGTCTGATATAATTTGAAGTCAAGATTTTCTTCGTCTCTACGTTTCAAGATAGAGGATGGATAGACGCGAGAAATAAATAACAGATAGGTACCTATTTCGAGCGTGAAATACATGGGAGATTGTATTGTATCGAAAAGGGAATAATAACGATACCTACCATGATAGTCTCTGTGGTATGAAAATCTGGCAGCCCAATCTTGACGCTTTGGCCGCTCAGCTATTGCAAATTGTTTATAGTTTTAAGAACGCAAGGCGAGGAATGAACACTGCTCCGAATAAGTGCTCCGGCTCGGCAGTGGCTGACGAAACCGTAATACTAGGTACCTACCTACGCCATTGGACCTATGTTGAGTACCTAATGCGTTTCTTCAGATCGGGCATTTCAAATTTATCGACACCGATGTACAATAAAAACGTTAGGAGTTGATTTTAGTAATTTTCAATATAAGAAATCGCGTTCTACGTATAATTCTGATGAAAATATGTATCAGAATTCCTAAAATCGTGCCTTACCTATCTAGTGGTCCATTAATTGGAGGAGGGAGGCTTGATCTATGGAGGCAAAAACTGTTGCAGAATGATTCCCATCGAGTCAGGTCGAAAATTGGGAGTTTCAGATTTCGATGGGAAACTCTCTTTTGAATCCCGAAGAATAAACTAAAAGCGTTTTTTTCATATCTCCGCCAATTAAGGACGAAACCTGCCTTTAGCTCGGTCATTTTACACGTTGAATGTGAGCTCAGAAGATTAGAATTTTGAATAAGTATCTTTTCTTGAAACTACTTTTTTTGAACTGCGGACCTCCAATTAGAAACACTTTTCTATGCTAACGCTGAGTTGTCAATAACACAATTTTGAGTTTTTGTTGAGTTAAGTCCATTAACGCCCTAGCAGTTATGATAATATTTTTGCAAAATTTTGCAAATTAATAATCCTGTCTCTGTTACAGTCACCTCCAATGTTGAAGTGGACCGTTTGTCAAAAGCAGCAGAATTTGACGTCATCTAATTTTGGTTCCTCCGCGATCCAATCAGTGAGCTCTGGTCCCTGTTACCCAATATGTCGCACCAATGTCAAAATTCACGGCACTTTAAAATCACGGGCTCGCCGTGTTTCCATCCGCCAGCTAAACAAAGAAAACAGGCAGTGCCACAAATCTATCGTAAGTACAGTCAAATCATGAACCTAATTTTACCGGTGCGGGGTCTCATGTATGATACAGAAAACTCGATATAGAAACCCCGACAGGCTTGCCTTTTTCTCCCATGTTTTAATATCGCACAAAAAAACTAAGTAGGTACATATATAAAGTTGCCAGACCTGGACGCTTTACCATTTCATGGTCCTGATAAAATTCTCGAGAGTCTATCTTTCATTGAAATATTAAAGCGATTGGATTCACAAAGCGGGAAGCTGAACGGATTCAACCAAACAAGTCGAACTTCATTCCATTTAATCTGCCTTTTTTCTCCTATGTTGTAATATCACACAATAAAACTATGTAATGTTGCTAAATAGTGAATAAACAGTACTTTTCGCAATTAATCCGATGTAAAATACCCACATTGCAAATCATTCACTCTAGCAACCTTGAAACCTCGAAAATATCCCAACCCTAGTAGCAGATTTATATAAAAACAAGTTTAACGAAAGTATACCACTCATATAACAGTTATATAACAGTTAAGTAACGGGATCTTCAAAGGAAATCGCCGTCGTATAACTGTTATGAATCAAATAATTTTATAAATTGCGCGAGTAACCTTCATAATTAGTTTATATTAAAGTTATTTGTAAAAATGTTTTATATAACCGTTATACTTCAGTTATACATTTCTTATATAAATACGCTCTTTATATATATTTTATATAACCGTTATACTTTGATTATACGTTCTTTTTATAAATATGCTCTTTATATAACGGTTATACTTCGTTCATATATTGTGAATTGAGCCCTGCTACTAGTGAAGTCGGAATATTCCTTGGTTTTCCCGTGAAAAATCAAACATGGGAGGAAATGAAGCAACGTCTGCAAGGCAGATTCTGGTTAAATCTTTCCAGTCATTCTGGTTGGAACAAAATTACTTTGAATGCCCTTCTATTGTGCGAATGCATTATTTAAATGTTGTTGGGGGGAAAAATTGAAAGAACGCTCAATGAGTCTCAGCAAAGTGTTATGAAGTATACTTTAGTATCCTCCCTTTGGTGTGGGCCGTGTAGTAAAGTATATGATTTCCAGCAGCTTCTGAAGCTTTCCAGATTTTTTTTAAATTTTTTGGCCTAGGTACCTAAGGTAGTAAAATAGTGCTGGCACTATTTTACTACCTTGTATAGGTATGTCTCGAAGTTAATGCTTAAATTCGCCTGGTGATCGCTCAACGACTTAAATGGTAATCCATTCATTTAGCCAACCTGAGATACCTATTTTGCAAAAAGTCGCCTAATATAACCCCCCCCCCCCCCCCCTCTTCGAAGTTTCATAATGAGGCGAATCGTATACTCAACAATCGTTTCATCCACCGCCTTTAAGTGTGAGTATTCCACCTGCAACTTCTTGCGACAATCGCGGATAAATTGATGAGTCCAACCAATTCGCTCCCGACCAATGCTTTTTCTGCACCGGCACCAATTCAGCTCCTTTTGTAACGTTGAGCTTTTGAGAATGAGGTGCGAACATAGAAAATCATTTTGAAAGACAATTACTTATTATGAGGAAAATATCAAAGTCTGTTCATCAACTTCTTGAATACATCTTGCGATTTTTACAGACAGTCCTCGCAAAATCATTTCAATTCCATATAATGAAATTTCAATAATTCAGCAAAAATTTATCTCCTGAAATTGTACCTACTAGTTTAGTAATTTTTAATTCTTGCATTTGTGAAAAGTAAAGAGTGCACTACTACCACCCTCAGCAAAAACGCCGTAACTCTAATCTACATTCTGTCAGATTTTTATTGAAAAAATGTTTCATTACCGTAAAACCAACGACCATTAATCCCTCTTAATTCTACAGTAACTATGGCATATCATTGCGAATTCAAATTTACAAAATTAAGCATCGCGTGGTTTTGATCGGAGTTGCGGCGTTTTTCCTGTGGACGGTAGACAGCTCACAGGAATTTCCCTCGATTTTTTTAACAATATTGAGCGGTTAAAAACGAGTTCAAATTTTCAATTCTCTGTCTAAACGCGCATCGCCAAGAAAGTCAAGATGGAGTCCAAGAAATCGGTCCGGTCGCAGGTTGCTGCTTTGCCCGCATGATTCCTTTTTGCATTGATCCATATGCTCCGTGTGGGAGTGCGTTTATACGGTTTACACAGAGAATTGACGGTAACGAGCGGGCGAGGCAGCAACCCACAACCAAACTTGATCTCTTGGGGGCTTTTTTTAAATGAACGACGGTACCACCAATCACCAAACTGCGTTCTTTAACTCAATGGTCGGTGCTGACGTCACGACCGGTGGAGCCATCGCCGGTGGATTTGGTACCACTTATCTACCGCTCAGAGCACCGGAGATTTCTCCGGTACTTTCAATCCACCGGTCCACAGGTGGACAATGTAACCCTACTTCGGTCTGATCTCAGGCCAAAAATAAACGAACAAACGAGAAAACGTAGGTATTTCGCCCCCCCCCCCCGCTGCTGAGTCTGATGATTCTGCATCGTCACTGTCATCTATGGATTAAATTATGTAATATTCAGGTTTTTTTAGTGTTATTTTTCCTCGTACTTTAATGGGCCTGTTTCAAACTTTTGCTAGAGCAAAAATAAGAGTTGTTTCTTATAGATAATGCCTCAAAAATCACGATGAGCGCATCGGCAAAGTCTGAAATGCACTCATAACTTCACAATTTGCGTTTGAAATTTGCGGTTTTTTGAGCTTCCCGCTTCAAAAACGATACTACGGTACAGGTGAACATTTTATCAGAGGAGTCGTTCCATCGTCGGCAATACTCATCATGGCCGACGACAATCCGCCAAAACACCTGTGATGGGACGAGATAACACCTGAACAGGATTAGACCAGATAACAATCGGCGTGTTTACGTTCATATTTTCCTCATCCGCCTTGATTGACCTTGAACTCTCCTCGAAATACGCGCGGAACTGCGCAAGCGTCGGCCATGATGAATATTGCCGACGATGGAGCGACTCTTCTAACAAAATGTTCACCTGTGCAGTAGTATCGTTTTTGAAGCGAGAAGCTCAAAAAAACGCAAATTTCTGACGCAGATTGTGAAGTTATGAGTGCATTTCAGACTTTGCCGATGCGCTCATCGTGATTTTTGAGGCATTATCTATAGGAAACAATTCTTATTTTTGCTCTAGCAAAAGTTTGCAACAGGCCCATTATGGCAGATAAGGAGTTATTGCTGGTACCTACATTGAGTATATATTGAGACTATTGCAGTATCATTGAGGTAAAGGTTTGAAGAGAGGAAGAAATCCATTTGTTTACATCGGTGGAAAGTGCGTTCTTAAATTCCCGACTCATCGCGGGTAATTTCGTACCAAAATGACGACCGGTGGTTCTGCCGATCAGAAAAAAAAACCCCTTTGGGCGCCACCTTGCTTTCTTTGGCAATGCGCGTTTCAAGGGAGGCTCAATTCACGCAACTCCGACCTTCTTTTTCGCCGCTTAATATTGTTCAAAAAAAAACTGGGGAAATCCATGTGAGCTGGCACAACCTCTGCTTTTCACAAATGAAAGAATGAAAAATTACTAAACAAGCACATCATTATGCGAGGCTTAGGGTGTTTCTTATTTTTTAAATTTTCGAATTCGAAGGAGGTCCTGGTCTTACAAGTTGATGTGTGCATGGATAGATTAGAAGCCCCGTGCAAGGAAACAAATGTAAAAACAATTTTTTCCCGGTGCCCCAAAAGCCTCAAGTGACAGGTTAAAATTTGAGGTTTTTAGATAAAAAAAAAACACTGTTTTCCAATGGAAAACGTCGATCGTTACCCAATCGGAAATTTGACCTTGGCACAAGCTTAGTATGACATTTTTTCACATTTGAATAGAGTTGCCAAGCTTATCTTGCTAATGTTCCCACAATGTTAGCAGGACATTTATTTTACCTCTGGGACAAGCTTGAGCCCAAAGATCGTGCCAAGGTCAGGTTTGTAAGACTGCTCCAAGCCTATCCTGACGATATTGCCACAATATTGGTGGGACATTATTTTACTTCCGGGACAAACTTGGATATTCAACATTGTGACAACGTTATGTTAATAATATTGCTCCAAGCTTGTTCAGCGGATATTGTGATCATGATGTTGCCATAGGCTTGATGTTAAAATATTGCCATAGTATTGGCAGGACATTTATTTTACCTCTGAGACAAGCTTGGATTTCCAATCTTACCTCTGAGGCAGGTAGGCGATAGAACGCCGTATTACCTGCCATCCTCGCGGAAGAAATTTCTTAGCGTCGCAATGCCTAATGTAGGCATATACGGAACATTGGAGTGCCGAGGAACCTTCCTAAGCCAGCTACTTTCTTGGCTGCTTGCACTGGCTGAAGTCTTCAACTTAGATCCCTCTTGTAACGGGCACTGCCCAGGCGAAACGAGAACCAGCCCCATTGACGGGGCGGCCGCGCGGCGGTTGCCAAAAAGCTCCATTTGAGCCCTTGGCCTAAGAATATCGGTAAGATGGGTTAAACGCCTATGGATCATGTGCCTATTACGTCAAAAAGCGAAAGGTCGCAGTTTTTGCCCTTTAATTTGCCCTTAAAGGGACCGCAACGGCAGATCCGCGGCGAGCGCGCCCTGGTGGCGGAAATAGCAAACGCGGTCGAATTGTGCTCGCCGCGCACAATATTGTGTTAATCTTATGACAATATAAGAAAGAGAAGCCTAAAATGTTTATTTTCTTGATCTTGTGACAATGTTAAAGTGCGAATATTACCACAATGTTGTAAAAATAATGTTAGCATAATATCAATTCAGCATTTTTAGATATCCAATATTGTGTCAATATTATGACAATATTACGAACAGAAGCCTGTTATGTTTGTTGTTATAACGTTAATTGAATGTTAACATAGTAACAATACCGCAGTATCACAGAGATAACATCGTCTGGATATTATTTTAGCAATTTTGTTTTCCTAATATTGTGTCAATATTGTATCAATATTATAAGCAGA